GAAACAGAGAAAGAGTTCCAAGGGAGTGGACTACCAATAAGCCTTCCTTGCCTCTTTAACAAAGCCAGTAGCTTCATCTCTAAATCCTGCTCTGGTCTACATTTAGAAGAGCAAAGTTTAGATGCCCAGTTTCTTAGGGAACACAGAAGTTTCCAGACGGCTTTAACCTTAAATCCAGTGTAACCCACTGAATCCCCAGGGGGGACTGTGAGATAGATTACAGATAGTTGAGGGTGGGAGGAGGCTAGTAATGTGCTTATGAGCTGCTGAGGATGCTTCTATAATGCTATGCCTTCTCATTTCGGCTCTCCTGGAATCACGTGAGTGTGGGCTGGGAAGACTCTAGAAAAGGCATTGCTTCTTAGCCCTCAAGATGAATTTATTTGTGCCTCTGGTTGTGGGTAGTTTGCTTCAAAGCAGAGAGAATAAAATTTAAAGACCAGGAAAGGAAATTTTGCTGAGTAACACTCTGTAGAGTTTCATTTGGATTTTTAGTTTTTTTTTTTGAATTATTTTTTTATTTTTTGAGTTGGAGTCTCAATCTGTCACCCAGACGAGTGCAGTGGCCGCTCCCGGCCACCACAGCCTCACCCTGCTGGCCTCCGGCGATCCTTCCACTCAGCCTTCAAAGTAACTGGAACTACAGGCGCGCGCTACCACGCCTGGCTAATTTTTGATTTATTGTAGAGATGAGGCCTTGCCAAGTTGCCCAGGCGGGTCTCGAACCTGCGGTCTCAGGCAATCCACTCACCTCAGCCTCCCAAAGGCACGGCATTACAGGCTGAGCCACCGAGCCCGGCTTCATATGGATTTTCAGTTAGCAGGTCTCCTAAAACGGGAGTTATAGTTCGACACTAGGCTGAGTGGTTGGAAAGAGGAACATGGTGGGGAACTTACAACAGAGAAAAAATAAGTGATATTTTAACCAGATCAAAGAAAATTTATGGCATTTACTATGATAGTCCTGAAATTATTAACAAGAAATAACTCCTCATTAAGCTCCTAAGAGAAATTTGTGTGCCCAGTGAGGACAGACACTATACAAATGCACGGTCAGAAATTGGGCAGATGGCATCAGCAAAAGCTTACTGATTACCTTGAGATTTCTCCCCAGTATTCTCACAACAAGCATCACTAGCCCAAGTTTAGCTATGCTTTTGTGTGGACAGAAAGACAGTCTTTGGTTTATGGTGCAGTTTCAGGCCATGGAAAGAGTCTTCTTCATTCCCCAGTCTTTTCCCTAGTTGTAATGTTGGAAAGTTTTTATTTCTGAGGACATTGGCTTTAATGCCACAAAAAATCATGAATTCATGATTAGATCAGAGAGACAAGTTTAAACTGAGATGTGACAATGGTCACAAAAGTTTATCAATATTACAAAAATATTTTGTATAAAGAAGAGTGTAAGACTACAGACACATTAGTTGGGTGGTGTAGTGTTGGAAGTGAGTTAGAGAATAAGAGCACATGGCCCTATGCAGGGTCTGTGCATGTAAAGTTTGGGGTTTCTTAGAGAGAAAACATTAGAGGAACTATAAGTAATATTCACATACACCAATAAAGTAATATGTGTTCATCTGTGCTCAGTCCAGCTTCTCCAGGGGGAAAAAGTCACAAAACATGAAGTCAGAGACTTAAAGAGAAAAAGAAACTTCAAAGAAGACTCATCAAGTTAAGCTTCCTGGCTATGGGTGAGTAAATTTATGAGAAGACAGAACACTGTAGGCATAACTAAGTGGTTAGTTTGGTGTAGTGAGGGGCGTTCATTTGCTTCTGCATTCCAACTCCATTTCCATTATTTGTATTGAGCCACTCAGTTGAGCAAAGATTCACATTAGCTCAGTGATCAAATGCAGATCATGTAAACCATAACTGAGTGCATCTAGTTTGGTTCTGAGCAGTCAGGAAAGATGTTTTCTAATCTTCTAATGAGCGCTACATGACCCAAGAGAGAATACAGAAAAAATAAATTAGACAGAACGGATGTTTGCTGTTTATCAACAAGTTTGCCCTATAAGGAACAAATTACATTGACTGTAAACTAGTTACTAATTATATGAATATGCAAGCCAACATTAGATTCTAGCTGGTTGACAAAACCGTAGCGAGGATTCCACATTGGATATAAAATTATTTTCCATTTAAACGAAGATGGCGGTGATAATAAATGACATTTATTGAACAATTGAACACCTTCTGACCTTCTGTGAACTACATAACACAGTCAGTACTTTTCTTTAAATTCCTGCAATCTTGCAAAGGGTTGGTTCCATTTTACAGAGTAGAAGTTGGAGCATTTTAGAGGAAAATTGACTTGTTTAAGGCAACACTGCCAGTAAGAGGTAAATAAAAAAATTGCTTCCCAGTTTCAATGCCTATGCTTTTTTTTAAACTACTACACTTTGACACTTTAAAATCCCCAAGACCCTATGCCTCTGAAATATACTGCCTCTTTAAAGAATTCATAAAGGTGAGCATGAGATCTGGCTTATATTCTTGCCTGAATATTAGGTGGCGATCTAAAAGTACAAGTCACACCAATAATAGTCACATAACTAGCCAAGTCCAATAATGGTCACATATTTCATGTGTTTCTCCTTAGGAAAGATAAGTCCTTAGATAAATTGATTGGAACTTTAGATCTTTGCTGTCTCTGCCTTTCTAACTCGTTACAAGGGACTTATTCCTCTTTTTTCCGGAGTTCATGTAGCTTATTGACTCTGAGTTGTGATCAGAACAGTATTGTTACCAAGCTCCTCTTCTGTTATTTCCTATATCTGTGAAAACAAAACAAACAAACAAAAAATAGTCAGTTTTTAAAAACCAACATTTGGGCTTTTTGGTACATTTTAATCTCTTTAATTAATTGTAAGGAAGGAACTTCTGTGTGGTTAAAAAATAGAGAAACTTCTTCGAATTTATTTTTCCAGTAATTATATATGCAAAGTAGCTGATCAGTTAAGAAATAAGAGAGTTTACCTCTCATCCCACCTAATATGTACACACCTGGAGTGAGAGAGTTTTGGCAAAGTGTTGATTCCCCTTTGATAATTAGTTTACAACTCCCTAAATTTCCTAGCCCTTTTGTACTGTTCATAGTATCTCCAGCTTCAAAAATAGGGCTAGTTATATACGAGGCACACATTCAATATTTATGTTTGAATAAATCAGTATGAACTGAGCAGTGAAGTTCTCACACCCATTTTAAAAACTTCCAGTTAAAAATAACTCCTCAACTTTTATCCTAATGATTACTCTTCTGTTTCTTCCCCTTAACATAGTCCCATATAGTCTGCATAATTTCATTCTGCATAATTCATTCATTTAAGTACTCCTTGCTGTGGATTGTTTTCCCTCAAGGGCTAAAAGTATTGGAAAGATGGAATTAACAAGAAAGTAGTATAAGTTTATTTCTTTTTCCCCATAAAAAGAGATTAGTCATTACTGTCCAGGTAAAGTCAAAGTAATCTTTTCTTTTCTTTCTTTTCTTTTTTTTTTTTTTGACAAGGATTCACTCTGTCGCCAAGGCTGCAAAGTAGTCTTATAAAATCACTGTTTGTCATTGTAGAAGAGTAAGACTGAGAAGGATTTTACTATACTCTTAGAATACACCAAGAATCATGAATAGAATGTGAATAAAAGATTGACCCAGGAATGAGTTGAAAAAGCTTGGAATTTTCTATATCAAAAATAGAATAAAATCCAAAAAGGGTTAACTTGAACATCTTGGGGAAAGGGTACAAGAAGCATCTTATAAAATTTCAGATGAAGGTTGAGGAGGTATATGTGAAGACACCTGTTGATTAGTGAAAAGAGTGAAAACTACTAGGTAATATTAAGGTTAAAAAATAATTACTAAGCACTGGCTCCCGTATCAGAACCTATTCTAACTTAAAGAATAAGAAAAATAATGTCTAATTTTACTCAGTGAACTATGTTTGCAGATTGACTGATGATCGCACCTAATCGCTTTTAACCTTCATTAAATAGTGTGTGATAATTCGGATATATTCTGATGAATGAACGGGGTATATCCCCCCTTTTTTGGGACAATGGGTCTTAGCTGGAAGACAATTCTAATTTATTTAAATGCTTATATGAGTCTTTTCTAACATTCAATTATTAATTAATTAATTTTATGATTGTTATTTTTTATTTATTTTATTATAAAAGTATGGGATACAAGGCAGGATTAGTTACATAAGTAATCTATGTATAGCTGAAGTTTGGGCCTCCAATTTGTCCTCACTTCCATTGGTTTAGGACCAGGTACCCTTGGTGTTATTGTGTGCCTCCCTTCCCCGGTAGTGTTCTGCTGCTGCTAATTCTTCCCTTGAACTATTGTGGCAAATGTTCAGGTCCCACTTATGAGTGAGAATATGTGATATTTGGTTCTTTGTTTCTGTGATAGATCACTAAGTATGATTGTTCTCAGCTCCATCCAATTTGCTGCAAAGTCCATGATATTCTATCATGTATATGTCTCACTTTTTTAAAAAACGGGATTTGTTGAGAGAACAGAAAAGCTACTACAGTGGGAGAGGACCTGAGGGGGTTGCCCATAGCACATTTTTAAAATCTATACTAATTTCTACAGGCAGTATGGTTGGTTCCATGTTTTTGCTATTGTGAATAGTGCTGTAATAAACATGTGTCTGCAGGTATCTTTTGTAGAATGATTTGAGTTCCTCAAGTTGTAGTCTCAAGAGAGGGACTGCTGGATCATATGGAAGGTGAATTTCTAGTTCTTTTAGATATCACCACACATCAGCTATTTTATTTTAAAAAATTATATGTCATGTACTATTCCAACCTCTTTGCAAATGTTAACCCCTATGATTCTCTTAACTCCAGGGAATAGGACTTTTATTATTGGCATTTTATGAATGATGAAACTTACCAAACATTATATCGCTAGTGCACGTTTCTCTAGTCTCATTCATATTCCTATTCTGTGTTGTCTTTCCAGGTAATGTGATACTGTGTGGAGGCTTCTGACCAGCACTCTTGGCCAGACCATGGAATCTCCTAATTACACTAACATGGACCCTTCTGTCTTCTTCCTCCTGGGCATCCCAGGTCTGGAACAATTCCACCTGTGGCTCTCCTTCCCTGTGTGTTGTCTGGGCACAGCCACAATTGTGGGCAACATAACCATCCTGGTTGTTGTCGTCACTGAACCAGCCTTACGCAAGCCAGTGTACCTTTTCCTGTGCATGCTCTCAACCATCGACTTGGCTGCATCTGTCTCCACAGTTCCCAAGCTACTGGCCATCCTCTGGTGTGGAGCTGGACACATATCTGCCTCTTCTTGCCTGGCACAGATGTTCTTCATTCATGCCTTCTGCATGATGGAGTCTACTGTGCTGCTGGCCATGGCCTTTGATCGCTATGTGGCCATCTGCCACCCACTCCGCTATGCTATGATCCTCACTGACACCATCATAGTCCGCATTGGGATGGTAGCTATGATGCGAGGCTCCTTGCTCATGCTCCCATGTCCCTTTCTTATTGGGCGTTTGAGCTTCTGCCAAGGCCATGTGATTCCTCACACATACTGTGAGCACATGGCTGTGGTGAAGCTGGCCTGTGGAGACACCAGGCCTAATCTGGTGTATGGGCTAACAGCTGCACTTTTGGTCATTGGGGTTGATTTGTTCTGCATTGGTCTCTCCTATGCCCTCATTGCACAAGCTGTCCTTCGCCTCTCATCCCATGAAGCTCGGTCTAAGGCCCTGGGGACCTGTGGTTCCCATGTCTGTGTCATCCTCATCTCTTATACACCAGCCCTCTTCTCCTTTTTTACACACAGGTTTGGCCATCACGTTCCACTCCATATTCACATCCTTTTGGCCAATGTCTATCTGCTCTTCCCGCCTGCTCTTAACCCTATTGTATATGGAGTAAAGACCAAGGAGATTTATGAAAGGGTCATCAGGGTGTTCCAAAGGAGACAGGGAACTGGTATCAAGGCAGCTCAGTGACCCTGGAGTATAGAAGAATCTTAACCTAAATAAAAAAAACTTTTCAAATGTAGGAAATCTTCAGTATTCAAGACAAGAAAGAAGCTTGAAAAGGGAAATGTCCTCTGCAGAACACTTTTAGACCATTTTCGAGAATGACAAATCACAGATAAGGGCAAGGAGATTCAGTCCTCTTCCTCTTCTTTTTTTTTTTTTGAGTTGGAGTCTCTCTCTGTTGCCCAGACTGGAGTGCAGTGGCTGCTCCCGGCCACCGTAGCCTCGACCTGCTGGGCTCCCGTTATCCTTCCACCTCAGCCTTCCGGGTAGCTGGAATTACAGGCATGTACTACCACGCCCAGCTGATTTTTTTGATTTATTGTAGAGATGAGGTCTCCCTGCCCAGGCGGGTCTCGAACCCGCAGGCTCAGGCAATCCACTCACCTCAGCCTCCCAAAGGCGCGGGATTACAGCCTGAGCCACCGAGCCCGGCTTTCTTCCTCTTCATTCAAGGAAGTGTAAACATAGGAAGAATCTTGCAAACAAGGTAACATCTAGATATTGAAAACTAGTAACTATGCCCTGGAGAGTTCTACTCTGCTGCAGTTTGGACAAGTCTCTGGATCGCCATTGGGTCTCTCTTCACCTCCTGTCTCTCTCCCAATACTCCAGGCATAGATTTCTAATTTCATACTTTAGGCAATAACTGTTATCTTACCATCTGCAAGGATCAGAATACGACGATAAAACCACAGTGAAAGAAATTAGAGCTGTGAAATTTATTACAATTTTGTATAAATCATATATTCTTCATTAAAACTTCAAACCAAGAAGAGGGAAAGGATCCAGCAATACCCATAATGTTAATTAGACGTGGAACAAAGGCTTAAAACCTAGTACCCCTTAGTATAAAAGAACTTCTATAAATGAGGTACAAGAGAGGTCAGGAATAGTTCTTCATTTCCAAACAAGATCTATTTATTTCACACATATATTCCTATCTTCAGCCTTTAGAGAGTGAGCCAACCTAAGTCTGAATGACCAGAGATATTACCCCAGACCTTGACAAATAATTTCCAAATATTCCTATACATTTATGCAATTGGGAGAACTTTCTGGAAGTCATTGACCTAATCTCCTGAATCTATAAAAGATGGTCACTTACCCAAACCAATCAGAATGGAAAATCTTAGCTATTTATTAATTCATTATTTATTTATTTATATTTACTTAATCATTTATTTATTTATAATAAAAAGAAGGGTAAGCTTGAGTCGAGTTAATCCCATGAGGTAGAAAGTATCCATGTAACTGGGATTGGAAACCAGTTACTGTACAGGCTAACCCTTCTGTTCCCCAAGAAAAATAACTTGAAACAATTGATCTAAAATATTCACTTAACAAATTAGTACCTTTAATTTTGAGCTTATTTATGATACACATTTTCTGCTTGTCATTTCTTAGTATGCTATCCTACCCTATTCAGTGGAATGAATACAAAACTTTCTCATGGACATTCACAGACCCTCCTAGTCTTGGAATGCATCAATTCTGGGTAGAAAGTCAAGGTCCAGCTTTTGAAATCTTCTAGTCTCAGAAATGTAAATGGTTTGATTTTGATACCTCAGAGATGTGGGGATAAACACTTTGCAAATAATGAAATCTATATAAAGTATGTTGAACACTCCATTTTTCAAAGGAAAGACCCTATTCTGAGGAAAGTATAAGAGCTGGCACTGTTTTAATTTTTCATTCTAATCCTCAAATTGAGATATCTTAACAGATTTTAAAGAATTATTCACAATTCTAAACACTACAGTTTATCAGCTAAATGATGTTTTTGTTCTCCAAATTGATAATCTTTCTAACACAAAAACCTGTATCCCCAACTCAGGAACAATCCATACTGTGTCACAGGTTTCTGTACTAAAAGAGTGCACTTCTGAGGAAAGTATACAGATATGCATTTTGCAAGGATTACCTGTTCATAACTTTTCATTTTACCTGGAATCTCAGTGCTAGATATCCATGCTTTGTACTTGTTGCATGGTTTGCAATAATAATTTTTATCATGTTCAACCCCCTTACACACACCCCTGTCCCTCATGCTTGAAATAGCACATTAATTTCTTTCCCATAAAGACAAATAAAATGATCAGAAGAGAAGTATGTCAAATTCTAATCCCTATGTAAACTTTTTGATAGCCCTTATTTTCTCCTTTCTTGCTGTATTTTTTTATTACTAATCCCTTTTTCTGCTCAAGAAAGCATCTTAAAACATGCTCTTGGAAGCCCAGACCATCAGTCATTTCTTGTATTTCTTGTATTTACAATCTGTTTGAATTTACTGATATTTTTTGTGCAATAGAAGCATTTCCCTTCACCTTACTGTTTTTTTTAAAATTGTAAGTTTTTGAAAAATATATCTGGAACTAATTATTTCTATGCTCTTAATTCATTATTTTTCTGGTTTCAACCAGAAGTTGAAATTCCCAGAGAAACAGCTGTCATCAAAATCATCAGCAACCATTTTTAATTGAACTACTTTAAAATGTGCTATATTATTGACCATGATCTACTCCAAAATCTATCTACTGTGATTTCTATTATCACACACAATCCTAGCTTTTCTTTTATGCATCTAATGTTTTACTTCCTGTTCTGCTTAATTTTTCTTCATGAACTTGACTTTTAAATGTTGGTATTTTCTCAGAGATTTATCTTTAGTTTTCTTCTCACTCCTTCCGATCTCTATTCATTGCAATTAGGGCTATAGATAAAAGACAAAAAAACTTCGAACAGTAACATCAGGGCAAATGGTTTCCTGCAGAAAGAAAACATATGTGTAGAAGAGCTTTCACTCTTCTCTGCACTATAGAATGTCTTTTGCCTTTTCATATCTATAAATGTTGATCTGTGGAATCCTTAACCAATTCCTTCCGACTGTTCACTATCTCTTGCTTCTGACAATATCATCTTGAACTCAACCTTAGTAGACCTTGAATTACATTAGTATTTGCAAGTGTAAAATTAGGTAGTGGGTAGCTGTATTTGTTTATTTTGCACTACTCAGCATCATTTCTCCACTGCTCTTTCTGGGCTTTGTACTGCTGGATATTTGACTCTAAGGTTGGTACATTGCCCAGTGAGTGGGGGAAATAAATGAAAGCACTCAATCTATGTACACTTGTGATTTGGTACAGAAATAAATCTATGACTTAACTTGGTGGCCTGTATGTTTGCTCTTCTATTGGAAATATTGGGCAGCAAGGATATTTCTTATTGGTTGGTGTTGCTTAGCTGGCAGAATACAAATCTGAAGATGTCAGTAGGCATTTCATTACCATTTGAGAAGAATCTATCTGTGGGTGAATGTAAAAGAAAGCAGAAACAAATAATACAAAAATATAGATGGCTAATATTATTTGAATATCTGGAGCCAGTTGTGATCAAAGATATTTCTAGTCCTATATATTCCAGTTAATAAAACACATGAATTTATTTTTTTGCTTAAGATATTTTGAGTTGCATATTTGCTCCTTGAAATCCAAAGACTTTAATATCATATTCCTGGAACTCTTGAGGCCGTCACTCACTCAAAACCTCAGTTATCAATAGACTCAGACACTCCCTCCCCTTCTTTGAGGGATAGCAGATAATAATTGTTTTGATTCATCTGCTGATTTTAAATAATCCTCAGAACTTACAATCACCTTCAGATTGTATTTTGTACATCTCACAGTGGACCTTAAACAAGAGAGAATTAATGAAAAAAGACTAATTAATAGAAAATCTCCAAACTGAAACACAGAAAGAAAAAGTGTCAAAAGAAACAGAACAGGACACATAAAAGACATGTGGAACACAGACAGGAGTATTTTCATACGTGTAGTTGAATTTCCCAAAGAGAGGAAAAAAGAGGCAAATTATATACTTTAAGAGGTGATGACAGCTGGGCACAGTGGCTCATACTTGTAATCTCAGTACTTTGGGAGGCTAGAATGGGATAATCGCTTGAAGTCAGGAGTTTGAGACAAGCCTGGCCAACATGGCAAGAACTTTTCTCGACAACAACAGCAAAAAAATTAGTAGGCCACGGTGGTGCACACTTGTAGCCCCAGCTACCAAACTCTTTCAGAAAAGTAGAAGAGAAGAGAACACTTTCCAAGTCATTTTATGAGACCAACTTATTATGAATACATGATAAGTGGGAAGTTCAGTGAAATAAAACAGAAATTACATGTTATTCTAGCAGGAATGACTTGTACTAACAAATTTGAATATTTTAGGAACTTATGTGCACCTCTCACATGTGCCTTCAAGAGAACCTGATATGGGTAGCATTGTTGACTGACAGCCTCTGACTTCTACACCCTTGGAGGAACCTTGACACACAGAGTTCCTGCTTCCCTTGGTTGCTACCAGCCAGACTACACCCAGCAAGAGAACAGGAACTAGGCCCTTTTGGCAGGAAACAAAACTCTTTAATGGTCAATATTTACATAGAAACTCCCCACTGGCTTGACTGTGAATTGCTCACAGATGCACAGAGGGCTTAGGCTTTTCTTATGCAATCTTTCCCTTCCTTTCTTGTTTCACAGGTGTCAGAATTACATCTTGGTCTAAATGCCATTTTTACCATCTTCTGCCTTTTTATCCTTTACGTTTCACATATGTTTTTCCCAATACCTCATTTATTTATGTATTATCACTTGGGTGCTAATAATGGAAAGTCCTAGCTCTTTCTATCTTCCCATAGAGGTTAGCTTGATTCCCACTACAGCACTTGTGTTTCTGATATTCTCAAGTATTCCTTAGGGACACCTAACACACATTTTCTTTTAAAGGCCCAGTTCAATAGTTCAGATTTCAAAAAATTTAGAGGTTGACAAGTGCACTGTACATTTATTCTTGATTTGTGATTTTTTGGATCCAGACTGTGAACACCTGGACCAGATTGTCTCCAGATTACTGTTTTGCTATCCAGAAACGAAGGTATTAAAAACACACACAAGAGAAGTAATGACAAGTTTTTCTTTTTGTTGTTTTTGTTTTTGTTTTTGTTACTTCTGTAGGCAGTAAGATCAAGTGAAGAGAGACTTTCGGAATATGTTATTTTTTATTTTTCCAGATAAATCATTAATTCCAACCACAAAATTTGAAGAAAAAAATGTTGTTTAGGTTTTTTTTTCCAAAGATGCTTATTTTTTCAAATCTTAAAATTCAGTATGAGTTATGATGATTATGATTATCTATGTATTTCTCAATCCAGATAGGGCTCTTTATTTCAGTAGTGTGGAAGTCAGTTGTGGACTAAGAGACTCCCATGACTAAGAGAAATAAGAGAATAGCTAGAGAATAATTCTCCATTACTCTTACTTTTGACCTAGTCTCCCTTTTCTGCCCCCAAATCAAAGTCTAATTTTCCTGGGTTATTTTGTGAAAAGACTGAACTGTAACTTTTGTTTCATCCATTTAGGGAAGCAGAGTCTATGTGGTACACGCAATCCTTGTATGAGCAAAATGTTGGTCTACTGGATTGAAGATGGTCGAATAAAAAAAAAATATATTATCTGCAGAGTTTAAGAATGAGGACAAGTAGTAGATGACATCAAAGCCATATTTTATAAATGGGGATAGTCATGTATCAATATTACTATTGCAGTTAGCTTGCCCACACCCCACTATAGCTAAGTCAAACTTATTTGCAGAAGAAATTAAATTTTGATGTTTAGAAAGTATTTTAAATTTGTTTGGGAAAGAACACTGCAAATGCTTGTAGTTAATACTTAGATCTTCAATGTAGACCTTGGAGAACTTTGCAAATATAATAAAGATGAGACTTAAATTGCTGTGGAAGCATAAAACCAGTTTTGGTGGCTAAAACTATAGCTAAAAGAAGGAATTATGAGAAGTATAAATATGTTTATCTAATATTTTTAAAAATGAATCTTTCAGAAAATTTCACATGTAATCCCTCCAAAATATATTTTATTTTCAGTTTAGTGGGTGTTTATGCTTCCCTTAATTTTCTATCTGCTTCTGGCACATGAATACTTATTTTACAATGCAGTAGATTTATGAATATATACTTGGATATGTGCAGGTTCAGTATATATTGACAATATTTTTTTCTCCATCTCCAGGTACTTGTTCTTTAAACACAGAAATCATTAAAGCACTAAAGTGACATATTCCACTTCTTGCATAGGACACTTTAATTTCAAGAGTAGCTGTGGAATTCCATTGTACACTGCTATTGGCAATGTAATGTGTAGCATACAGCAGGAATCAAACATCAAAGTTAAACGATACTTTCAATGTATTAAAGTGAGATAAAAGAATAAAAGAATAGTGACCCTTTTGAATAGGTCATGCTAAGTTATCATAAATTATGGAAAAAGAAATTTTATAAATGTCTTACTAAAACTGTAATTAATTATATGTATATACATTATATGTTGTTGTAAATTTATGTTTTGCTTGGTAACACATATGTAAGAAAACTGAAAAATGAGGTATGTACAAGAAATCTGAAAAATACAGTGTAGATTACAAATATAAAATAAAACTTTATAATTTCATAATTTTTCTGACGAGCAGAACTTTGTAATTTTGGTTTTCATAGAAAAACATTTCATATGTTGAAAAATTATTTTTGAAAATAAAAATGAATACATTCCTTGAAATTCCAAGGCTAAAATTTTAGGTTTTGAATCATTTACTTGCCTTAAATAAAAAATTAAATCAGTTTACAAGCTGCAATATAATTTAAGTATAATTTTGAGAGGTCCTTATTGTAAAACCACCCTTTTGTATTAACAAAATGAGTGTTTAAATGTTTTCATGATTTGTGTTATAGAAAAAGCTTATCAAATCTGGAAATGAAATATTTGATACATTTACCTTTAATTACATACCATCAAGCATTTTATTTTCCCAAAGTGATTTTAACTCAAGTATTTTTGCATAGAACTAACTTTTTCTAACATTGATATATTCTCCCCAATTTTTAGATGTACTGTTTACTTAAAAATTATATGTGTATATATTTTAAATCTTTGTGAAGTTTTCATTCTGATGTACTCTAGCACTGCATAGATAATTTTTTTAAAGTATTGCAATTGTGTCAATTTGATGGAAAATTTAAGTAGTTTATCTTTATTGACAAAAATAATGTATTTGGCCTTCCTCTGTCATCTTATTTCTTTCTTTCCACTTTCTTTGTATTTTCTTTATTTCTCTACTTTATGATGAAGATACTTTATTTATCTTTCATAGTAATCTTAAAAAAATTCTGTATTTTTTCCTTCTAGTGGTTTTATACTTGCATTCCAAGTAATAATATTTAGATTGTAATTAAATAATTCTCAAAATAAAGTATGGCATGTAATTCATTTATATCTTCATTCATCTATCTGTTCATTTCTTTAAAAAATAATATGTGTTGGCTATTTTGTATGTACAATTTAATTTGCTAGACATTGAAGATGTTTTCTAGGCACTGTCCTTATATTAATGATTTCATTGAATTGCAGAGGATTCCCAAATATGAACTGATATTTATAATATCATGAGGTAAATATAATTAAGGGAAATCATTTGAACAAATAAATTTTTACCACAAATCACGGCTGGGGGCAGGTATATTTTTAAAGAGAATTTAGAGAATGGGACACTATCATGTCCAAGGGACATTTGAGTATTTCTGATGATTATTTTGCTTGAAGAATGCATAGGAATTAGCTACACTTCAGGGAGTAGGCAAAGGGTGCACCAAAGAGATGGAAGGGCTGGTCTATCACAATGCCAACATTATCAGTGTTCTAAGAGTAGGAGATAGCAAACAGCCATTTTGTTCTGTCAGAATCCTAATGCTTCAGGTTAGAGAGAATTTGTCCTCTTCTCTAGAAGTTTTTCCTGACACAAGGTGAAATCCACAGATGCTCCTGTGATGCCCAGTAAATGCTAAGATTTTGTAATGACAAGAGGATATGTCCTTGAGGAACTTGTTTAACCTGTGTTTCTTTACTTTTCAGAAACAAGTATCCTTTTGATAAATCTGATCTGTTCTCTCAGTGACACTTTGTGACACAGAATTTTTATGTGACTATATTCCCTATATTATTTCTGTTATTTTGTTTGTATTTTGAAGACCCTTCTACCTCATACTGCCTTCTAGTTATCATTGTCTTCCACTTATTGAAAACATTTTCCTATTTCTAATAGCATAGATTAATTTGATTTGTTTTTGTACTTTATATAAATGACATCAAATATTGTATATTATTTTTAAATAAAATTAGCACAGTTTTTGATATTCATTTACATTATGCATGTAGTTGTAGATTGTTCATTTTCATTGTTATATAGAAATTCACTGTGGGTATGTACCAGAATTTATTTACTCATCAGATATTGATGGACATTTGAGTTTTTTTCAGATTTAGGTTATCCTACAAATCATGTTGCAGTAAGCATTCTAACTGATGAATTCTGGTGAATATGTCTATACACACACACACACACACACACACACACACACACACAATTTTAAAATGCAAATTATGGTTATGTACATGTTTATCATTATACGATATGCAAAAAATATAGTTGTTCAAATTAATATCCCTACTGGTAATGTATGGAAATTTAAGTTGTTCCACATCCTTGCCAATACTTGATATTTTTAATCCTTTTCATTTCTGGTATCTAGTTTGGTATATATTGCATTGTCATTAGAAATACAATTTTCATTTATTTTGCTAATTACTCTAAAAGTGGGTGCCTATTTAAGTATTTACTGGTACTTTTACTCCTCTTTTTTTTGTAAAGTGCATGTTTAGATAATTTGTTCACCTTTGCAACTTTTTCCTCATTGATGCTGCTAGAGAATTCTATATATTTTGTTGCATATTTGCATTTGAACACCTTCTCCTAGTCTGTGTAGACCAGACACATAAAAGATCAGAATATGACCATCTTAAAAAGTGAAAATACTGAATCAAGAAATTCACTGACTTTTGAGAGCCTACACTTAATTAAATAATGACTTATTTATAATTTCAAAATGTTTTAAACATTGCCTTAGTATCCAAGAGTAAATATCAGTCGTGAATTAAGAATAAGAATAAAAAGTCTGCATCACATCTTGGATCATCAGTGAAATAATAGAAGGGCTCTTCTTTAAGAGCATATCTATATTGAGATGACTGCAGTTATAAATAGTTAAGGCATTCTAGCAAAAATACCATTAGAAAAGTTGTAGCAAAATTTTTCCTGATTATAAAAGTATGAGGATGCGAATATGTCTTTTAAGGAAAAAATGTAAAATTAATGATGAGAACTTAGACTACTCAATAAAAAACAAAAGTAAATAAACAAAATTATTTTTTTGGCTCTCAAAAATTTTGATTGTTTGATTACTAAAATGCACTGTAGAATTTTAAAAAGTTGGGGGAGAGGGAGACAGTAACCATAACCTATATTTTCTCTTGTCTTTTTCTACTTATAGGAAAACTCAGATAAAATTTAAGCTATTTCATTATCATATCAGACATATCATGCTAATACAGAATAAAACAGATCTGACCCCAGCCTCATTTATTCTGAATGGAGTCCCCGGACTGGAAGACATACACATCTGGATTTCCTTCCCATTCTGCTCCATGTATGTTGTGGCTATGGTAGGGAATTTTGGACTTCTCTACCTCATTCACTATGAGGACTCCCTGCACAGGCCTATGTACTACTTCTTGGCCATGCTTTCCTTTACTGATCTTGTCATGTGCTCTAGTACAATCCCTAAAGCCCTCTGTATCTTCTGGTTTCATCTCAAGGAAATTGGATTTGATGAATGCCTGGCCCAGATGTTCTTCATCCATACCTTCACAGGAATGGACTCTGGGGTGCTCATGCTTATGGCCCTGGATCGCTATGTGGCCATCTGCTACCCTTTACGCTATTCAACTATCCTTACCAATCCTGTAATTGTGAAGGTTGGGCTTGCCACCTTCCTGAGAGGGGTGTTACTTGTTTTTCCCTTTACTTTCCTCATCAAGCGCCTGCCCTACTGCAGAGGCAATATACTTCCCCACACCTACTGTGATCACATGTCTTTAGCCAAATTATCCTGTGGCAATATCAAGGTCAATGCTATCTATGGTCTAATGGTTGCCCTTTTGATTGGGGGCTTTGACATCCTGTGTATCACTGTCTCCTACACCATGATCCTCCGGACAGTGATCAGTCTTTCCTCTGCTGATGCCCGGCAGAAGGCCTTCAACACCTGCACTGCCCATATCTGTGCCATTTTTTTCTCTTATAGTCCAGCTTTCTTCTCCTTTTTTTCCCACCGCTTTGGGGAACACACAATCCCTCTTTCTTGCCACATCATCATAGCCAATATTTATCTACTCCTGCCTCCCACTATGAACCCTATTGTCTATGGGGTGAAAACCAAGCAGATAAGAGATTGTGTCATAAGGATTTTTTCAGGTTCTAAGGATAACAAATCTCATATCATATAAATGAACATTTGTCAGGAGTTAGAAGAAAATAATTCTACTTGCCTCTTAAGCAGAAGCTGATATAATCTGGAAGTAGTATTTTGGCCACAAATAAAAGTTTGTTGAACGGTGCATTCCCAATGAGTGTCTTGAGAATCACAGCATCACTGGCATTCCCACCAACCGTTTAATGAACTTTTAGCTTTCTCACACCTGTGAAAAACCAGCCTAACAATTAAACCAAGTTTTGTTTAACAAAGCCTAGTAAGTTGATTTTTCATGAAAATATCAGATAGAACGAGATTATCTGAGTTTTGTTCTTACATAAAGATTACAATCTCCAGAATGATAGATAGTTTTTATGTTCTTCTGGAAAATATGTGCTATGTATTTCTCACAATTGCAAAAACACCTCTGTTTCTTTCATGAGTTCTTCCTGAAGGAAAATCTAGAATGTATTCCACGAATTCATTACAATGATGAATTTTAAGTCTCTAGACATCTTATTAAAATCATATTATTAGGCCAAATAAGTTTCTCTTAGCTGGGCCACACACGTAATTATTTTACAACACAATAATTAAATATTTAATTTTCTTCAAGTGGGTTTTTTAAAAAACACAGAATCTGGAAAGGGAGGCAGGTTTCTTAACCAAAAATGAGAAACGGTATGCTTTTTTTCTGAAGTTTGTATGAAAGGGAATCAAAATCTATTTGTTATTTCTTCCTAATATTTAAGGTCATTCTAAATTAATAAACAAGCAGGAAACTGTAGAAAATAGAACTTCCATATTAGTGTCTAATGAACTAAACCAATTATATTAGGAATATAAACTGAATTTCTACTCCTATTTTCCTACATTCAATGACAAGAAGACATTTACCTCTCCAAAATTTAGTTTAGTCATCAAATTGCATTTATTTATTTAATGAATCCTTTTTTACTATCTTGCATTCTAAAGCCCTACAGAGCACCTGGGTGTAGTGGCTCACATTTGTAATCCTAGCAATTTGGGTGGCCAAGGTAAGAGGATTGCTTAAGCCCAGGAGTTCAAAACCAGCCTAGACAACATAGCAAGACCTCATCTCTAAAAACAAAAACAAAAACAAAAGACAAAAAACAACAACAAAAACTAGCCAGGTATGACAGTGTATACCTGTAGTTCCAGTAACTCAGGAGGCTGAGGTAGAAGGATCACCTGAGCCCAAAATGTAGAGGCTGTGATGACCCATGATCTTGCCAATACCTTCCTTCCAGCTTGGGTGACAGAGTGAGACCCCCTTTCTAAATGAAAACCTAAGTAAATCCTACAAAACATCACCAACACCTAAAATATAGTTACTCTTTATATATCATTCTATTTCTTTGTTCATCTTAGTTTTGAAATGATAAATTGTTAATTTTTTTTCTACTTCCTCAACTGACATCACTCTTCCCCACGTCTGTCTTTATCTGAGTCTATTCATTATCTGAAATTGCTATTGTCCATTCCATCAATACTCTTTATGTTAACAAATTAAGTAGACATTCTTCTGTGCTTAACTCATGCTACTTCTCAGGAATATTGATTGCATTTCCAATATCTAGAAACACTATCAATTTTTCTTTCAGAAATACAATATATTTTATTTATGGTATACATTTGGTTTAAACAATTTATTTTCTACATTATCTCCCTAGGTATACTTCTTCAGTATCATGGTCATAAGGTTTGGTTGTAAACCAATGATTCCTAAAAGGAAGCTAAAGTAAGAGAGCTGTTTTTCACATATTCATTATTCATGGTGTACTATCTTCGTCTGACAGTGCAATACATTTGTTCCCTCCTTTTAGCCTCCCCCTACTCATTTCCTGTTTCTTGCTTTAGTTTATCTCCCCAGTGTTTTGCCATAAATGTTTGCATATATAAGTTCCTTTAAAAATAGATATAATTATTTAGTAATTTAATGTGTCTCAACTTAAATACATTTTATTGTACTAAATGACTCAATCTGCTTTCTCACTCAGCACTTTATTTTAAGATGTGTTTATCTTAAAATATTCATCTTGAAATATGTATTTATATTTCATATTTATTGATTCTAATTCATATTGCTCATTACAAAATTTTTGTTGACAGGTTACTTATTTTTAAAATTTTAGATTAATACAAGTTTGATTGAAAACTTGTAACTCCAACTTCAAAACATATAAAAATTAGTTGTGCTTCTATACACTATCAATGAATGATCTGAAATGGAAATTTAAAAAATATATTCTTTACAATAATATGAAAAGGAATATACCATTCAGTAATCAATTTAATCAAAGAGACAACATATTTTTGCACTTAAAAATACAAAAACAGTCTTATAAAAATTAAAGACTACACAAATAAGTGAAAAGACATTTGATGCTCATAAATGGGAAGATTTGCTATTGTTAAAATGTCCATACTATCTATGGTAACAACAAACTCAATGCAAACCTCAACTAAATCCCATTGAAATTTTTTCTAGAGATTTAAAAATTCCCGATATCAGATGGAACTGCCAATGAGCAAAAATAGCCAAAAAAATCTTGAAAAAGAACAAAGTTAAAGACTTCATACTTTATTATTTTAAAGCATATTATAAATCTGCAGTAATTGATACAGTAGGTAACTTAAAACTCCATAATATAATGACAGAATAGACTAATGGGAATATAATAGAGAGATGAGAATAAACCCATGCACATATGACCAGTGGCTCTTTAAAAAAGGTACCACAAATACAAGTGGAGCAAGAACAGTCTCCTCAATAAATAGGTTTGGAAAAACGGAATATCCATATGCAAAATAATACAATTAGCCTCTTAACACACACCACCCACAAAAATCAACTCAAAATGGATTAAAGATTTAAACAAAAGACCTCAAATCATAAAACTCCTGGAAGAAAACATAATAAAAAAGCTTCATGACATTGGTCTTGGGTATAATTTTTAAATCATGACATCAAAGGAACAGATAACAAAAACAAAAATAGACAAATGAAACTATATTAAACTGAAAAGCTTATGCATAGAAAATAAAACAATCAAAAGAGTTAAAAGGCAATGCACAAAATGGAAGAACACATTTGTAAACGATATATCTGATGAGATTAAAATTCAAAACATATGATAAACTTCTACAACTCATTGTAAAAAAAAAATTAAAAATGAGAAAATAATTTGAATGACATTTCTTCAAGGAATTTACCAATGATCAATAGGTATATAAAAAGAAGATCGCTGGGCTCGGTGGCTCAGCCCATAATCCTGCGCCTTTGGGAGGCTGAGGTGAGTGGATTGACTGAGCCCGCGGATTCGAGACCCGCCTGAGGAGCGAGACCTCATCTCTACAATAAACCAAAAAAAATCAGCCGGGCGTGGTAGTGCACGCCTGTAGTTCCAGCTACTTGGAAGACTGAGGTGGAAGGATGGCCGGAGCCCAACAGGTCAAGGCTGCGGTGGCCGGGAGCGGCCACTGCACTCCAGTCTAGGCGACAGAGTGAGACTCCAACTCAAAAAAAACAAAAACAAAAACAAAACAAAAAAAAGAAGATCAATATCACTAATTAGCAGGGAAATGCAGTCCAAAATCACAATATCACCTCACTACCTTAGGATGACTTTTATAAAAATAACAAGAGTTGGCAAGAATTTCATGAAATAGGAACAGTTGTGCACTCTTGGTAAAAATGTAAATGGTTTAGCTTAGCTTCTACGAAAAACAGTCTGGAAAGTCTGCAAAAAATCATCATTACAGCTATGATATGATCCAGGAATCCCACCTCTGGTTATTTACACCCTGCCCAAACATGAAATTGAGATCTAAAAATGGTATTTTCACTTCCATTTTTATTGAAGTATTATTCACAGCAACCAAGCTGTAGAAGCCACCTAAATGTTCATTGATGGATGAATGGTTATAGAATAGGTGGTATATATATTCAACGGAGTATCATTCAGCCATGAAAATAAAATAAAATCTTGTCATATGCTACATATGATTTATCTGGACATTATGCTAAGTGACATAAGCCATTCACAAAAGAATAAATACTGTATTATTTCACTTAGATAAGTACTTAAAGTTGTTAAACAATGAAATCAAAATAAAATATTGGTTATCAAGGGCTGGGGAGAGCAAGAACAGTGAGTTTTTCAATGGGTATAAAGTGTCAGTAATGTAAGTTAAAAGTTTTATAGCTCTGCTATATAGCAATTTGCTTATAGTAAACAACACTGTATACTTAAAAATGTTAAGGGGGATATTATTTTTTGCCACATTAAAAAAAGAAAGTAGTTCAGTGATATATTTAATGTGCTGAAAGAAAAAAAATTACTAGTTCACTAAAACTTTTATGCCAACCAAACTGCTCTTTAAATAAAACTAGAAATAAAGATAATTCTCCCAAAGCCCCCCAAAGAAAATTATAGTTAGAATGTCAACTCTAAGAATGTTAAGAAAAATCTTCAAGATAAAGAAAATACATCAATCAGAAACGTAAATACACAGAAAAAATAAAGATAAGTAGAAATGATAAATATAGCCGGGCTTGGTGGCTCAGCCTGTAATCCCGCACCTTTGGGAGGCTGAGGTGAGTGGATTGCCTGAGCCCGCGGGTTCGAGACCCGCCTGGGCAGTGAGACCTCATCTCTACAATAAATCAAAAAATCAGCCGGGCGTGGTGGCGCATGCCTGTAATTCCGGCTACTCGGAAGGCTGAGGCAGAAGGATCGCCGGAGCCCAGCGGGTCGAGGCTGCGGTGGCCGGTAGCAGTCACTGCACTCCAGTCTGGGCGACAGAGTGAGACTCCAACTCAAAAAAAAAAAAAAAAAAAAAAAAAAGAAATGATAAATATGTGTGTGTGATTAAGGAATATATAATATTCCCAGATGAAGGAAAACTAAGAGGTTTTTTTTTTCACCAGCAGAACTATCCTAAACAATAGCTACAGAAAATTCTTTAAATAGAAAGGAAATAATGAAAAAAAATTAAGGTACAAGAAAATAAGAAGAAATATAGTA